TCCGATATGTCGCTGCTGCGACCTCAGTAGAATCATCACGGGCTTCATCCCGAGCTGAATCGCACGAGTACTGGTGGCCACGGCCATCAGATCGCGAACTCTTTGCTGTACCGGGGAGACGAAAGATTGTGGTAGCTCAGTCACAACGCCGTGTATCGTTTGGCTATCAATCACTGGCTTTGGAATGGACTTGACCCCAAGCCAGTATTCCCATCCGTTATTGAGCGTTCCCGGGACTCGACTGACGTCGCTTCCCGCCTGCACCATTCTCGTAGTTGCCGAGTCAATCACAGCGACGCCTCCCCAGTCAAATTCACCAATATCATCCTGATCATTTGGCAAGCTAGGAATGACCTGGCCGACGCGAAACCAAGCGACGCCAACCTTCTTGGGCCCAGTTTGATCGGAATCAGCTACTGGGCCTAACTTGATCGTTATATCATCGTCCTGTCCGCCCTCACTCCCACCAACTCCCGAGAAGACAGCTCTACCGAGAGTCTCGTCGATGCTAATGCCCAGCAGATCGCCGCTTTTCAAGAGACGCCGCCGGCTCTCGAAGTATTGCTTTAGCCCCGCGAACAGAGCGGGCTGTAGGATACGATCCATTGATAAGGGCGTGCTAACTTTTAGCAGGGTTACTTCTTTGGCCAAAGGAGGACTTCGAGCGGCGCCTTTCATCTGATGCAAATGACTCGTTTTGGGCCCGGCACCGATGTTCAATGGAGAGATGCGGACGTACTTCGGGTTATCGAGATTGTTGAGAAGAAGTGGCGGCACAAATGCAGAGGGAGTCATGCGCACACCAGGCCTTTGCGAGATGCTTAAACGCCTATCACCAGGTTGCTTCATCGAATACCGAGGCTTGGCGGAAGGAAGACCAGGTAAACCGTAAATCTTGATTGCACGCCAGTCACCCTCCTCATGCTGTTCGGTGAAGCTTCCGAGCTTGATGGAGGCGAATATGTTCGCCTGAGGCTCTTCCGAAGCTTCGATACGTACCCAGTCGCCCGAAAAGCAGCCAATCTTTGCCAACGTACTGATGTCCACAAAGACAACGGCCTCGATGTCGTCATCCTCCCGTGGTTGGGGATAGAGAAGTTCGTTCGGGATGCTCCGCAATAAGCCTTCCGCCTTGAAAACCTTACCTCCATTCTGTCGACCAGGACGAAGGGTCGAGGAGGTAAGGTTCGACACCATAGAGCCAGGCGTATGAATACCATCCATACGTCGGCCACGTGGTGTGGCTGAAGTCATTCCCGACATCACACCCGAAGCCGGTTGTGGCAGTTCGGGAGCGCTGAGCGAAATCATATCGTCCAGCGAATCGTCCGATGAATCACTCAGGTTTCCACCAGACCCCTCGGTCTCCGAATCCTCCGCATTGGAAGTGCTTTCCATTTCAGTGCCATCATCAACCGGTTTGTCCTCCGCAGCTGAATAGAATTGCTCGTTGGAAGTATCGTCCGCTTCATCCTCGGCCACTTGTTTGAGAAAACCGGGAGCCGGTCTCAAGCCTCGCTGGGGTCGATGACCGTTTGAACGCGCCTGGATTAGTACAATCTTGGTGGCGGGCAGCAGAAGACCCTGAGAGACTGGTTCACAAAATGAGATAAGAGCAGGAGGTGCTGGGGCGTATGTGATCGGATGCGGTGGTAGTGGCAGCGGCAACGAGTCCCCTGTATGTACTACCCTCTGTGTTCCCAGAGCCTCCCGCACTGCAGCCGTAAGCCTTCCTTCAATCTCCGCCGCCGCTCGTTTGGTGTACCTTTTCGGCTCTGGCCCCTTTATCCGGAGCCCATTGGTCCCATTATTGGGCGTAAATCCGCCCCCAAATTTGCTTTGGACATCATCATGATTGCGGAGAAGGTCTCGCTCCACGGTTACATATATCGTGTCAAGAGGCAAGGGGACCACATCCAGGACTCGGATCTCGATCAGGCGCAGCAACTGCGGGGAGTGACGGGTCGGATCGAGCTTATTCAAGGCCCGAACAAACGGCTGCAAAGAGTCGGCAGAGTCCGGAAACATTATAGTGGAATTGGGGAGCGGCGATTCATTCGAGCGACCCGCTGATTGCGGGCGAACGGGAACGATGGTCCATGACAACGCTTCCACGGCGCTCGATCCTGGTAGATATGGGGAGATTGCGATATAGCGAATTCCAGAATCATCTTTAAAGTCTTCTATATTTCCAGATAGTCAGAATTCCGTTAGACCAGTGCCATCGCCGTCACTCACCGGTCAGATCGGACGGTTGAAAGAGGTCGTCAGCTAAATCGTCCGACACGACACCAACACTCCCACGCAAATGATGGTCCAGCGATAGGCGCGCCGAAATGGGCGCCCTGTTACGCAGTCGGTTCCGGGTGCGGTTCCGTCTTCGAGACTTCGTCTGGTCAGGAGTGAACTCGTGGCGTTCGAAGTCCATTATGTTGCGCGGTCGGTCTCCAACTGATTGCGGCGGTAGGATTAGGGAGGTGTCGGTGTGTAGGTAGGTGTAGGAAAGGGCGGACAGGAAACAGAAATCAATAAACCATTACCTCTAGCAGATACACATAGACAGAAGACAATAACCGAAGGATTGTACACGCTCCCAGATGCTGAAGAGAGCTCCGGCCACGAAAGATGGAGAAAGTCCGGGGTGAGAGAGCGCTGAATTTCGGCACCGCCCGCTCGTTCTGCCTTTCCCGAAGCCGAGGTTCAGCAATCACAAGATTCGTGCTCTTCACGCCCACGGCCCCCTGATTCTTCGAGATGTTGAGGACCTACGGCTTTTCAGTCGGTAATCCGACATCATGACCACAATCCTACTACTTACTACTACTGAGTTTGTGGAGCTGGAGAACTCTTAAGCGACACTGTCAGCTCTCAACACATGCTGAGAAAGATACAGCTAATTTGGTATAGATTAGGTAGGCTTCATTAGAGGTTGGTTCACGCGTCGCTCGGATAAGTTACAACTACATCGGAACCATCGATGCTATATTCACCGGCATTGCTATCCCCGTCTGCACATCTCGGGCCGACACCGTGACAACTGCATCAGTAAATGGGGATTACGAGCTGCGAGGAAATAAGAATCACCAGTGACTACATGCGTCTCATCTCATCTTCAGCAGCAGTAAAAGCTGGCTTCATGTTACGAGCACCATGTTCCTATCACCTGGTTTGGAAACTATATTACCTGACGGCTGCTGCTGCTTCCACCGCAAGAGCACCTGTCGACAGTTCGTTTCTCGGCTGCTGTTTCGGAATTGAGTATTGTCAGTGGCATCGAGGTAATTCGAGCTTCAGGTTTCACGGGTCTCCTTTCTGACGGTAACCCGCAAACCTATGTCCCTATCTGGATTGTTCGACTTTGGACTGCGGGAAACGGGTCTACAATGTATGCCCTTGGAACGTAGGGACATCCAAGCGACCCCTTCGTCCACTGATACAGCGTTCTCTGTCCCACTATCATGGGTCGGGTCGGACCATGCGCGATGGTTGAGGCGTTGATAGAGTGAAGTGAGAGGCTCGGGACTTGAACGTTAAATGAGAAGAATGCCCGAGCCAGTGCACATGGGTGGATCGTCCATTTCTGCTGCGCAGGCGCTTTGGCAGTTCTATCAAGGTTTGGGCTGAATCTGCATCGGCCATCTGTCATGCTTAACACCATTCAGACCGTGAAGTGGATCCCATCTCTTGTGGATGTCGGGCCGGTCAATGGGGCTAGGATTGAGGATTGGTTTGGTTAACGGTGGTTTGGGGCGAGGTTGCCGAATTGGTATCTGCAATGGTTAGTGTCATCCGAGGTCGATGTCAATTTGAGATCCTGACCTAATGTTGCTGGCCATATAATTTTGGACTACGGCTTTCCAATGTTACCTTACTTCTAGCAGACTGGTCCATAGCAACAACATTATCATACGCGCAATTTAGCAACCTAAGGTGATGAAGACCAAGAACATAAATAGCAGCTTCCATTCTGTAGTACGTAAGCCTTCAGCAATTGCTCTAAGGCTTAACTCCGCCAGAGCAGACCACGGTCTGTGCGGCTCTTCCTATTTCTATCTGCTTCTTCTGCAGAGTAGAGGCGTGCAGTTCATAGCTAAGGCCGCGTGTCAACCGATAATTTGTGCAGAAATGGTGATGCCTGCAAAAAGCTATCTGACAACAGAGTCGAAGGAGCCCGGAACCCCGGGCTCGACGCGAAGATAAGCAAAGCCGGGCAAGTTGAACCTGCCACGGGCCATGCAACGCTCTGAGGCCGGATTGGACAGCAGTGGCTTCTTGGAGCGTTGTTAGTAGAGTGTGGCGGAGTCGTCATCCTTTACTGAGGGAGGGAAAGGGCCCAACTGGAGATACTCATCCCCACCCAGGTTAGGTTGGGGCCTTCAAGGTTGCGTAAGCAAGAAGCGTTGAGCACGGAGATCAACCACCTGCAGGGCAGAGTTGTCCTGCTTTTCCATTATTCCTCGTGTTGCTGAAGATGCCAAACTGCCTGAGGTCTCATTTGGTGAATGCCTAACCTCCTCGGGCAGGTAGATACATTATCCAATTTCTCGACAGAGTTGGAAATGAATGTATATGTATTCGTGACCTGCCGCGTGTTCCGGAGATACTACCTACCCTCGCTCTACAGGGTCCATGAATCTTAAAAGAAAGTCCTCTTAGGTTCCCATTCTTAATGGTCAGCAGCTGAGCTGAAGCGGTCAAGCTGTGCCCAGGCCTTCCAACATGCCACCTTGTCGTTATATTAATAATGGCCCGGGTTATGGAATCCCGTCCCGGGTCTGTTCGTATTCAGGTGTTCTATCCAATTCTACAGTAAATGTGATTGATGTTGACCTCAGGAAACTTTCCAGACAGAAATTACAGTAGGAATTTGGATCCATCCCGAAGTGAAATTTGCAACGATCAGGGTCAATGGCTTTTTAGAACTAACTTCAAAGTGCATCTCCCCTACAGCACAATGAGATTTGGCTTATATATCCATAGTAGTCAGAGTTTGACATCACGACCGACTAGCGTAGCGGTTAACGCGTCTGCTTTACACGCAGAAGATCGCAGGTTCGATCCCTGCGTCGGTCAATTTTTGCTTCACTTCCATCCGTTCATTATGAATGGCACAAACTCGCCCCCTACTTCAGAATTAACTTTAGCTTCGGAATGAGATAGATAGTATTTTCTTGATTTAATTAGGAATCGCATCCGAGTAGAACTCCTATACAATAGACCCCACGTTTTTTGCCGCAGGATACTAACGGGGCCTGATCCATGGACCATATAATAATGGAGAAAACACCTGGAGTCCTGGACTACTGGGCGGACCCAACTTCCAAAATCCAAGCAAAGCCTGGAGCCGGCGGGGTCCATTATTGGATACTATTTTCAGAGCCCGAAGTTGATCCGGTTAATGGCCTCAGAATTCCTTGGCCAGACTCTCAAAAGTGGGAAGATGGTGGAACGGGGCAAACGGTCGGGCTACGGAGGAATTATGTATCCGCCGTTTTAAGCCAGTAATTGAAGATAAAATACCGCCAGACACAGCCCCAGATGGTACGACTATTGTATGGACATTACATCCCAGCACTTCCGGTACAGAAATACGAGTGGTCCAATCACTGGTTCCTGACCCGCACAGCCTTTTCCTTACTAGGACTAGCGTACCTCGTCTATCAGGCAGACATCGAAACCAAGACTGCCTCAGCCTCAATCCATCCATCCATCATCAATGACCATCCCGACCCTGATCTCATCTTGTCCCCCATCTCCTCCTCTCCAACTTGAAGTGTCCATCATTTTGTTTTCTGCGGACCGTCCCTTTTCGACATTTTTCTAGGTTGCAACGATTCTGCGTATTTATTCATATCCACCTCCGCCCAGGCGCCGACCTTCCCTTCCCCTAGCTCTTGAGCCAGCAGTTAGCCTGCTGCCCGTCCCATCGACATCCTGAACGTCATCTGCTTCTCGACCAAGTATGTATTAGACAACTACTCGATTCCCAGTCTCTGGCAGTGTCGAAATTTTATTCATTTACTCTTCTGAGTGTACATATCTAATGATCCTAAAGACGGCAGACTTGCCAACAGTTGACTGGCTGCGTCATCTAAATCCCGACCAGAAGCTTCGCTTGGATTCGCTCCTCGATCAAGTGAGTCATCTCCATGCGCCTGTTATGTGCCCACTCGCCTTGCTAACGCCCTTTTGAAGACCAGAACGACTCAAAATGAGTGTACCGCAGGACTCTGACGCTATAAGAGCCCACCCGAGGCGTCGGCCCTTCAGGGCAACCCGACCTTCTCTCACCACATCCGAAGAACAATCTCCTTCAGTGCCCTCCCGCTTCCGCCTCCGCAAAGGTGAAACATTCAACCCATCTATCCTTCGCTCATCCGATCGTGACCTTATTCCACCTTTGCTACCACGCCGCTCTCCCACATGCCCTGGCGCTTTGGAAGCTATCGCCGCTGGACAGCAGCGTATGGCCGGCATCTTGGGCCGCCTTGATTTGAACTCGACCACCTCTGAAGACGACGACACCCTTCCCGTCCCCAAGGGTCTACTCCAGCTCCACTTAAGAAGAGAGGGCTCTAGTGAACCTCGTTCACGTCAAGCCAGCCCTATGCCTAAAGAGCATTCTCGCAAGACTCAGAGAGCTCACTGTCATGCTTCCGACAGTGGGCTAGGCACCTCAGTCAGCAGTAGCCGGACCACCTCATCAAACAAAGGTACATGGTCATGGCCGGTAGTCTCTACATATTCGTTAGCTAACATCGTCCCAGTGAAAGCCGGTCAGTTGTCTCGTGGCAGCAACCCGACTTCTTCCGGTGTGCAGCGCTCCCAGTCGGCCATCACTCGATCTATTAGTGCCATGGCTTCTGCAGATGCAGAGAAGCACAAACTTAGCTCGGACGGTCGCGCGGAGATTGAGAAGCATATCATCGGTCCTCTCCTCGAGGACGACAGTCTCAAGCCTTTCCATCCTCTCGTCGAAGACGTCCGTCAACAGATCGATGACGAGCGGATCTCCTGCTTGCGTGACCTTGAAAAAACGGTCTTTTCACTTGCTCCGGTGGGTTATTCCGATGTGCTCCTACTAGATTTGTTACTCACAGTTGTTTGTCTCTCCAGGATGTCAAGACCAGTGATTCCGCTTACGTTCGATTCTGCCAGTACACCATCCTCTGTCTTGGACAAACAGTTACCTTCTTGAACAGTCGAGACCTGTGCATGCCAGCAGACAGGCAGTACAACAACGGCTACTTCGTAGATCTCATGGAGCAGGTCACTCGTTTTAAGAGGATTCGTGACGAGTGGCGAAAGAAACATGAAACTGATGGAAAGCAGTATGTTCACGCTCACATGTTACTAAACCCATAAACTAACCAGTCTTGGTAGGGCCCCTGAACTTATTCTCGAAGGCGGAATGTCCAAAACTGGACGCCCTCTTGAACTTGTCGTCCAGAAGGACGGTGAGGCAATCTCCCTGCGGACTGAACAGCGCTACGATGAGCATTCTATCCCTTCGATGAAGAGGACGCTTAGCTCGGCGTCCGCCGATGAGGGTGCTCAGCGTTCGATGGCCCGTCGCAAGAAAAATGCGCCTCCTATGAATATCAACAAAAAGTGCAAGGATTGCGACAAGGTCTTTGCCCGTCCATGCGATCTTACCAAACACGAGAAGTCCCACTCTCGGCCTTTCAAGTGCCCTGTCGCTTCCTGCAAATACCACACCAAGGGCTGGGCCACTGAGAAGGAGGCGGAGCGCCATTACAACGACAAGCACTCTGAGGCACCGCGCTTGTACTCCTGCCAGTTCGAATCTTGCTCGTACAAGTCCAAGAGAGAGAGCAACTGCAAGCAGCACATGGAGAAGACCCACGGATGGGTCTACATGCGCTCTAAGAACAACGGTAGAAACAAGCGAGCCTCTACCCAGCAGAGCCCTTCTCCATCGAGCGGCTCTGCCCAGCCCAAGCAGGATTTCTCTGCTTGGAGTATGACCCCTCCTTCCGAAGCCCCTGACTTTAAGCAGGAGTCGGTTGCTGGCTGGGATATGAGCCCAGATACTCCGGAGTTTTCTTTCAACGCGTTCCAACATCCCGTGACAGCTGGTATGCCTACGCCCGTGACAGGGACTCTGGACGCAGTCACCCCCACCACTGGAACAATTAACTCGCCCTCCGAGCCATTCGACTTGGGCCCTGAGCACACAACTTACTCAATTCAGGATATCTTCCCGGATATGAAAGCCAGTGATGGTCTGCTGTTCAGCGGCGGAAACTTGGATTTTCCAGACTTCACCAACAACCCGAGCATGTTTAATGACTTTGCTGTCACGGGCTACGATGACTTGGGCTTGCATCCCCAGGGGTTGAATTTTGGAGATTTGCAGCAACAGCCTGCCTTTGAGGCCGACTCCGCTTCTTTTCTTCTAGATGTCTATAACGACATGCACACGTACGGAATGAACCCAGGCCCTGGCGGTCTCTGATTCCGTCAGCCGTCGTGATTAAGAAACGAACCCCTGGCGGCGGAACATCCTGGTCAATGTGTTACGAATTTTCATTTTGGTTGGCAGGCGATTTTTTGCTCGTGATTGAATATCGATTGTGCTAAAATAGTTTTGTATATGCGGCGCTCAAGCTCTCTAATTAATGAATCACCTTCCCATGGGATGCTCCTAGTTGTCGGTTGTAGCCATACTCTACTCTACGATTCAGTTTCCCTAGGCTACGCGTCCGTGGAAGGGGCTTCTGTTTTACAGCAGTCCACCACAAATACTCTGGCCTCTTAAGATTGCTCGAAACCCAGCTCGCGTCGTGCTATATTACCCTACTGGCTTCAGCAGATTGTCCACGACTCGCGCCAGGAAGCTAGCAATACAAGAGTGTTTGACCTGTCGGTCGAGTCGATTACCATACTGGGATGGCTTCAGTAGCACCTGGAGTATATATATTCAATTGACTCTCCCTCAAACACTTATAAACTCTTCTCCAACCAATCCCTTCAAGCCAAGCAGCACGGTTTAACCGATATCCACCACACGAAATGCACGATATGAACGCACTCAAATTGTAACATACGAGTACCACATTATTGACTGGATTATCCATACAGCACGGATGATAATACTCCACAGAGGAAGAAGGGAAAATGAAAGAGAAGATACAACTAGGTACCTAAACCTGACACCTCCTTCCTTACTTTCTTCCCTACATGGTAAACCTACAATTCAAATCGCAAGTTATCGCCGCTCTCAACCCATTTTCACTGTTTCAGTACTTACCGGTATCCCCATAGCGGTGCAGAGGCTCGCGAGGTTGGAGTAAACTAAAACAAAAAAGTTCAGGAAGCAAAAAGGTAATGCGCCAACCGCGAATCGAACGCGGGCCCCTCGCTTGGAAGGCGAGGATCCTAACCTCTAGACCATTGGCGCGTGTATTGTTAGAATAACTTTACTTTTGCGCCTGATAAGAGGAGATTCTGTTTCCGACAAAATTGGAAAGCATGGCTGTTGGAACTCCTAGAGCACGAGCAAATAGCCTCGTTGAGGGTTTTATATCTAAGAAACGATAATAAAGGAATATAGGCCTCGTAAAACCCTTTAGTGACATTAACTTGATCTACAGGTAAGAAAAGAGATGAACCGCGAGCACTAGTTGTACTTCCGCAACTACGATAGCAAGTTAGCACTATGCAAAACTTGAAGGTAGATAATTAGGCTGGAATGGGAAACTCACGTCAAGTGTCAAAGATCTACTGCTGTTCTCCGATTGGTCCCTGTAGATGCCAACAAGCGCCTGACTGTTCTGGAACAGACCGTTCTTCAAACTAATGACGATGAACTGCATTCCGGGTGCCGCGTGGTCGTAGATATAGTTCGCGATACGTGCGACATTGGTGTTGTCGAGGGCAGCATCGACTTCGTCGAGCACGAAGAATGGCGATGGCTGGTACGAATGGATGGCAAATAGCAGAGCTAGAGCGGCCATTGTCTTTTCACCTCCAGACAGGTGCTCCATGTCTCGGAAGCGCTTGAGCGGAGGCATAGCGTGATACTTGATGCCGTCTAGATACGGCTCATCGGAGTCTTCAATGTCGAGATATCTGGAAAAGATTGGTTAGATTTTGTGGTGTCTGCTGTCTGGAAATGCAGGGGAACGTACGCTTGTCCACCCAGAGGGTAATTCGAACTTCGAGTTAGCTCCCTGTAGATGGGTCCGATCTGCTCAGATATATGGGAGAAGGCTTTGTTGAAGAGTTCTGAGCGTTTGCGCATCACCTCCTCGAAGTCTTCTTTGGATTTTCTGGCATGTTTCCGAGCTTGTTCAAAGTCCTTCTCCGTGCTTCGGAGTTTGTTCTCCACGTTCTCTAAACGCTCCATTGCGCGAGTATTGGGTGCCATCTTGTCTAGTTCACTATTGAGGCTTCGGATCTTATCCAGCAGTTCTTCCTCGAGCTTCTCATCGGAGTCCTAAGTTATTATCGTCAGCGCAAGTTCAACTGGTTTAAATCAGCTGCTAACCTCTTTCAGTGTCTCGCCTAGAGAACCGAAATCCACCTCAATGCCATAGTCTTGCACGGCAAAGTCGCCGTTGGCTTGCGTGTCTTCATCAATGTCCATCGCGTCTGGATCGCCCCCTTGGACCAGTTCGTCAATCGGAAGCTGGTCGAGAGGATTTGACTCTTCGGTCAATGGAATGTCAATGTCCTCGAGCTTGCAACGACGGAGGAGTGCGTATCGACTGGACGAGTTACGCTGAACTTCCGCTTCCAGTCCGTTGATAGACTTCAGCGTTGACTCAACATCTCGACTGCGCTTCTGAAGTTCTCGCCGATGCTGGGCGAGGTTTTCGGCGGACTCCCCGTATTTCTCCTTCTGCTCCTCGAGTTTCTCTCTCAGAATGTCAAGCTCAGCATTGAGCTCGTCAAGTTTATTCCGCATTTCCTCCTGCTCAGCCTCGAGCTCCGCGATCATATTTGCATCGCGCTGGTGCTGCGTCTGCAGGCTAGTAATGCGGTCAGTAGTAGCCTGCAGCCGCTGTTGTTCGAAACTGAGCTGATTTTCGATTCTACTCTTCTGGGTAGTGAACTCGAGTTTCTTTTGTGCAGACTCTTCATGAAGAGACCCTTGTTGCACTTCGTACTCGCGGATATTGCTGTACCCAAGACGCTTGCAGAACTTGCGATAGATCTCATCCTCTACACTGCTAACGGAGTCTTGGGAGGTGGCAATGGCTTCGTCAAGCTCATCCAGTGCTTCCTGCTTCTCGGTGTACTTGGGCCGGAGGTCCTCAAGCTGCCGTTTCGCGAAGTCAAGCTCGGTGTGCTTGCTCTTCAAATTCCTTTCCAGGGCCTTGAGTTCTTCACCGGCATAGGAAAGCCGCTGCTCGAGGCCAACCAATTCACCTTGCAGGGTCTCCTCTTCAGTTCCTCTGCGATGACCTTTGGGGAGGTTCGCGAGATCTGCCAGGAGTTTGTCTTTCAGCTTGAAGAGGTTTTCCACTTCTGAATCTTCCCACCGTTTGGAGTTTTGCTGTGGCCCACGACCACCAGTCATCAGACCACCCTTGTGAATGACCGTACCGTCCAAGGTGACGGCCTTTGCATCCACATGTCTTTCATAGCAGAGATACTTGGCTGTCGCAAGGTCATCACAGACAATAGCATTACCGCAAGCATAGGTGATTGCCCGTGCCACCGAGTCGTCGTAGTCGACAGTCTCAATCGCAGGCCGCATACCGCGGTGCATTCCCTTCAAACTAGAATTTAATGCTTTAACTTGAATTGTCTCCAGCGGAATGAACGTAGCCTGTCCTGCTCTCTGGTCCCGGAGATGCTGAATACACTCCTTGGCAGACTTCTCGTTATCCACAACGATGGCGTCAAAGTGACGGCCCAGGACAGTGCTTACGGCCTCGGCGTACTTCTTCTGCTTGGGCTTACACAGATCGCTGACGCGACCTTTCACGCCGGGGAAGATTCGCTTCAAAGTTGAAATCAGCTCCTTCGCACGAATTTCTCGCTCCGTCTGCTTCTTGCCGTCGTCCGCCTCAAGAAGCTTCTTCAACACAACCTGGAGTTTTTCCTCGAGTTCGGTCCTCATCTGCGATATGCGTAGTCTTTCCGAGGTAATAGCATTGAGCTCCTTCTTTTTCTGGTCGATCTCCTTAGACGTAGTTTTGGCAGTATCGTTGGCGGTCGCCTTGCGTTCCTGAAGGGACTTCCTCTCAGTCTCCAGCGCTTCAAGCTGCCATTTAGTGCTGTCGAACTTGCTCTTCAGGCTGTTGTAGGCTTCGGCGTCCGTCTTACGCTGGCGCTTTAGATTGTCAAGTTTCAACTGCTCGGCAGAAGATCGCTTGTTGACTTCTTCCTTAAGTTTGTTGTATTCCTGTTGGTCAGCTTGACTGAGTTTGCCCCCTTGTTTGCTCAAGGCCTTTTGCCATTCTGTTTCCCATTGAACCTGGGCCTTCTCGACGACCTTGAGATCCTTCTGCAGCTGCTTAACACTAGCGGACTGTGTGTCGCGCTCTTTTCCAATCTCAGCAATGCGAGCATTATACCTCTCTACCTTCTTCTTCGTGATGTCGACTTTCTCATCAATAGGAACAAGAGCAGTGGTGGTCTCTTCAATTTCCTTCTCCTTCTTAACGATGTTCTTCTCAGCGGTTGCTACATCGCGGCCAACCCTGGGATGGGACTTCTTCGCCTCTTCGACGTTTCGCTCGTACTTCTCCACGCCTCGCCGATATTCCTTCAGTTCATCCTGGTACTTCTGGATTTCAGCGCTCGAATCGTCAATCATACGTTGGAAATGGAAGAGCTTCCAGAGAATATGTGTAATGATAGCCTGGTCGCGTTCCTCTGCTTTCCGCGCGTAGTTCTCAGCTTCTCGCTTCTGCTCTTGGTACTGCTTGATCTCTGAATTGATAGCTCGGCGGCGATTGAGCTGAACTGTCTGCTGCTCAGCGGCTTCTTCTGCCTCCGCCTTGAGCCGTTCGTATTCTGCTTTATACTCCAAGCTTCCGGAGATCTGCTCGATCAGCCGCGTCAGATCTTTTGGCGACTGGGACGCGATCGCTTCCACGTCACCCTGGAAAACGAGAAAGTTGCGGGCCTTGATAAGAATATTTTCCGCTTCCAGTGCCTCATTGTACTGCTGCGCAGTCACCACGCGGTTATTGATGCGGTATTCGCTGACTCCCTGGCTCGTGATGGATCGCCGCCATTGCTGCTCCTCTCCAGCGTCATCCTCGTAGACAGCCATAACCCACGCCGTTCTCGGATCGTTGCCGCTCGCATCCTGTGATTGTTCGCCGTCGATTCCGTCCTCCTGGGTCGGACCGGCTCCGTTTGTCTCCCCGTCCACGGCGTTTCCATCAGCATCGACTTTTGATGTGCGCAAAACACGGCCGCGATAAATAAGGTCTCGTAGGTTGGTCGATCGCAGATGTGAGGATTTGATGCCTAGGACGAATGAAATCGCATCCATCCTGGGGAAGTCAGCGCAATCTCATTTTGAAAAGCGTTCGCAGCGGGGACAGGACGCACGAGTTGGACTTCCCTGACCCATTGGGTCCAATAATAGATGTGAAATAGGCATCACCGAAGAGCAGCACATGGTGGCCTTTGTAGGACTTGAAATCTGGCACAGATTATCAGCTGTCGCGCTGCGACTTGCTGGCGGGGCTATTCAACGTACTGTAAAGTTCGAGTCGGATTAGCTTCCCCATCTTGCGACTACGCAGTCGCTTCTCGCCGCGACGCTAAGCACCCGATCGAGTCTTCGAAGAAAATCGCAAGGCGGTGATGCGGAGCTGATGGTGTTGTTGAGGGGATCCGCGCATCGCGTGGAGAAATCCCACGCGTTGAAGTCACGTGAACAGGATCTATTGTACAGGCCACCACCGTTTCCAATCTGAAATGTATCGGCGAAGCTTGTGAATATAGGATGCGCAATACTAGAGCTTGATGCAAGGAATGGGTCCTTGTCGTCTACGTCACCTTTGAGTAGAATGGCAATATCAATCCTGTTTACCCCAGTAAAGCCGCATGGACTTTCTGCAGACGCGGAGTATAGCAAGCAGTAAGGTACACGGGCAGATATCGAACTCCCTAATAATCCACCATATATTCTAATCATCCATAATATACAAAGAGCCATAATTTGCCGCAGTCATAATTGCGCTTAAAGAAGAACATATAGTTACACATGCCATGTGAAGATATGAGTATGGAAGGGCCCTCTGGTGGTGCCTACCTTCTTAGAGACACAGGATCTCCAATGACTAGAAAGTCTTCCGACAAATAGCCTGACGAATCCATTCTATACACCCCCTTCCGACCTTCGACTTCTAGCAGAATAAAGTCCTCCTGGGTGAAAATTTGCCGGATGGACCGGAACAACCCCCACAAAAGTTTGCTGAAGTTCTTAAA